CATTCTCGTACATGCTATTTCTCTCACATATTCCCCTACTCTAATTCCTTTGGAGTGAGGTTTCAATTTCAGGATTAGCCTCCATTTCCAATGTAGTAGGAGGAAGCAGGGAGAGAATTAAAAGAAAACCTGAATTATATTGTAACACTGAAAGTTATCACATCATCAGCCTCTTCCATGACACTAATTAACTTCATGTTTAATTTCATTGTCGCTGGTAACAACTTATCCAACGATTACAAAATATAAACCGATAGGGCAGTTTTCTCTTCATTCCCATTTCCACCCACTGAGCTTTGTGTGAAGTCACATTCTACAATAACCTAGGAGCCTTCCATTTCTGTGAATTCATTGCTCCCTGGGTCTTCTCCAAGAAGAATGGGTGGAAGGGGTCTCCCACTACGTGGGAAGGCTGCATCATGAGAAAACCCACCTGTGCTCTATTTTCACACTTTCTAATCCTTCAAAGTAGCAGCAGAAGTGATACAAATGCACTAGACTTAATAGCAAATCCAAGAGACCAAACCACAGATTCTGGACTTAGCATTCATGAATCCTGCAGTCTGAACTAGGAATCTGATACATTCCCTCATTGGCTACCATCATTTGCCCAGCATGGAAGTGCTTCTTGTCCAACAAAGTAGCCAGATTCAGACCCATAGGCATAGAATGGCTCTGTAGGAAACAGCTGTTTCTCTCTGTGCTTCATGAAACTTTGGATCCAAATGGTAAAGGATGGTTATTCCCAATTTAATTATGGCATCCTTTAGGAGTGTGACCAATACCATTTAACAAGGGAGCAGGGTTCTAAAAATAGTTTACCAGGGCCCCCGGTCACCATAGCTTCCATCTCTCGTGTGAAAATCAACCACCAGTACCTGCAATTTCTACCTGAGTTCTTGTCAAATCTTTGACCTTACTTGGAGTAATTTTACATTTCTCTGCCATAGAATTCTTCACCTACCACACAACATATCAGTAGTGATAGTGAGGTATAACGCCCCCAAAGATGCCATTTTATTTCTTTAATCTGGTGGCACAGATTTAAATTAGGGACTAAATTCAGGTGCTGCTTAGAATCCCTATAAGGGACCAAATGTCAAGTATCTATTAAAAATAGGTATCTTTCTGCAACTATATCATATTCAACATGGATTTCATTTTCTACACATTGCAGCATCTCCCAGGAGTGAGCTGAAGAGAAATGTCCCTTCCATTTTCCCCATCTTTACCTAGATAGGGATTGCCTTTCCCAAATAATAGGCAACATGCATCTGATTAGGAAGGTGATATCTTCAGGAGCGACCTCCTGCAAAGCCCGTCCCACAACTGCTTTGGGAGCCCAATGCATGGATAATTTGCTTAATTCCAAGTCATTTACTAGGGAATCCTCTTCCCAGCCCTTTAGAAAAAATATTGACCTAACCAATTGAACAACAGGGGGATTGGGATGGTGATGGGGAATAAGGAAATCCCTCCGACTTACCCTATCTTCTTCTGTTGTTACAGAGGGTGAAATGACATTTTCCCCTATCCCTGCCCTGTTCCTGCTCTTTGTTACAGTTCAATATTTTTAAGTGATAAAAATAGTAGTAAAAGTATCTGCTCTGCAGCACAACCTGAAGCAACATCAGAGCAACTGGGAATGAAACAATTTGTTCCCAAAGGGGGAACTTGAAGATTAACAGTTGCTTTCAAATGGGGGAACAGTATAACCATGATGCTCAGGGTTTGTTTAGGTCAGGTCAAGGGGGAACCTAATGCCAACCACTGCACCTGGGCTGCATTTGCGCTACAACTAGAATTGTCTTTTTACACCAAGATCACTAACTTGAGCAGCCAACGCCATGTACAGTCCTAGTGGATGTCAGGCACAGGTAGTTTTTGCTTCAGCTTGTTGGGATCAAACCTCTCTCTTCCACCTGGAGCTGATGAACATTCTTGGCTGGAGGGACACACACTCCTACAACTCAAAAGGAATGGAGTTGATAGAAAAGATCACAGGACTGACCCCAAAGAAGGTGAGCTGCAAAAGGCAGAACCAGGCAACTCATCTGGTGGAGCTGAGAGACCACGGTGAATATGGTGCAAAAATCACTATGTGGGAATTAGCAAATGTGATTTAAAAAAAAAACAACACAATTTTTTGGCCATCCCTAGTCAAAGGATTTATTACAGTTCTTGCCCATGTGGATTCTCTGATGGGTGATAAGGGTAAAGCTCTGACTGAAGCTTTTGCCGCACTCAGAGCATGTGTAGGGCCTCTCTCCTGTGTGGATTCTCCTATGTCTGCTCAGGGCAGAGCTGTGACTGAAGTTTTTCCCACACTCGGAGCATGTGTAGGGCCTCTCTCCTGTGTGGATTCTCTGATGGGTGATAAGGGTAGATTTCCGATTGAAGCTTTCCCCGCACTCAGAGCATCTGTAGGGCGTCTCTCCTGTGTGGATTCTCCTGTCTGCACTCAGGGCAGAGCTCTGATTGAAGCTTTTCTCGCACTCAGAGCATCCATAGGGTTTCTCACCTCTGTGGATTCTCCTATGTGTGATAAGGTGTGAGCTCCGACTGAAGCATTTCCCGCACTCAGAGCATGTGTAGGGCCTCTCTCCTGTGTGGATTCTCCTATGTGTTCTCAGGGCAGAGCTGTGAGTGAAGCTTTTCCCACACTCGGAGCATGTGTAGGGCCTCTCTCCTGTGTGGATTCTCCTATGTGAGATAAGGTGTGAG